GATGATTGGATCAGATTCAAAGAAGGCTTGTCTGAAGCCTTGTGGACTGAACAAGGATGCTGGTGCTGGCGCTGCTGTTGTTGAAGATGAAGATGCTGAGGCAGAGGAAGCGTCGTCAAGGTCCATCAATAATAGATGATGGAATTGGAGGCAGTGAAAATCAACAAGGTCAACAGTGCTGCGGCAACAAGAGGAGGAGCGGCAACAGGAGCAGGAGCGCAGCGAACAAGAGCAAGGCGAACAAGAGTGTGGTGGATGTCCAGTCAATCGAGTCAATCGAAGTTGGAATTTATGGGCCTTTGAACAGCTCGAAGGAGACCGATTCGCCGAACTGTTCAAACAACTGCTATCTGCAATAAGTGCAAGCCAGCTCAAACAACTGCTATCGTCGACATCGCGAGCGATCGATGGCTCTGTAGTAGGATCCCTACGAGAGGCGTACAGATTCAAACGACCGATCGCGAGTCCGTTCAAACGACCAACTGCAAGCCAGTTTCCTCCTTCGTTCAAACGACCAATGCCAGTCCTAGGTAGATAGAGTCCAATGATAACAGCACGGAGACGACCAACAACACCACGAGCGATCCATCGCTCCGTGTTGTTATCCGAGTTAATGAAAAAGTGAGGATATGAAGCATGACTCAAGAAAAGACTTAAGCTCAGGCGATTCGAATTAAATAAAGCCTGACTCGAAGCAAGACACACAAGCCGAGCCTTCCATATGCAGTCGGAGCTCATTTTTCGATGAATTTTGCTGCTGTTAACTCGGAGCTTGTTATCTCCGTCGATCGATCGATGGTGAGGCAAGGCTTCAACGGTGATAGAGATAACGGTAATAGCAGTAGCGGTAGTAGTAGTAGCTCCTGCAGCGATCGAGATAATAGGATCCTCATTGAGATTACGATCGTCAATAGGATTAAGAAAGGTGGACTCCCATAGGAGTCCATCGTATATAGGATCCTCATCGCGATTTCGATCGACGACAGGATGGAATGGGAGATTGCTTACGAGCGAATCATCAACAAGAGGAGGATTGCTTGCGAGCGAATCCAAGGGAAGTGAGTTGCAATAAAGGGAAGGACTACCGATGAAGAATGCAAGAGGAAACTCATCAGGAGCAATCTGCATCAAGGTGTAGCACATTCCATTGACAACCATAGGGGATAGACATATAAGAAATAGAATGAGTAACATCTCATAACCTCGCATGCTACCATGCGACAATACCATTGTGTATTGATCAATCTAACGATCTAAGAGATGTAAAGTTTGTATTTCCAAATAAGTGAGCAGTTATTGATTATTTTCTAGAATAAGCCTGCTAATTGTAAAGCTGTAAAGCTGAATTGTAAGCTGTATCCCGTCGCACGTGTTTATGTTGAGGGCAGGAGTGCTCCGTCGGTTTCTACCGGACGGAGGGACATCAAGGCTACTAGGTAGGGGCGAGCCAAACTGTCTTCGAGGTACAGGGGCGACGGTGAACGGTTGGGTCGTACCCACCGCTACCGTGGTCCCGGGCGTGGAGACTCACGCTTGTGCTCTGGCCACTCCGCAGGTGGTCAGAAGTTCGTGGAGCTTGTTGTTTGTCGCAGTTGGGTAGCGTTTGTGAGTAGCAGCTCGCTTGCAGGACGAGATGCAGTTCCCTTTCAGGGCCCAGGCTAGACAGACATCTTGACCGCCGTGCTGAGGGATGGTGATGTCATGTCCGCGGGTCATCTCCCCAATGGAGCGATGACCTGCGGACTGGAATCGTTTGAGAAGGTCGTTGTCCCCGTGAGCGTTGGTGACACCGTGGGCTCCGGCCTTCTGTTGATGATTTCCGGCAGGTTTGTCAATAGTCAGGGGTGGAGCGAGAGGTTTGATGAGGGAGTACCAGTAAGGCGGGAGAGTGGCTAGGACTGAGGCCCGATGAGATTGGACGTGTCCCAAGAGTGTCGTGAAGTTTGGAGGCACAGCCGTACGGTCGGTTACAGCCAGCTTGACCCAGGCAAAGTAGTCCTGTTGTATGTCATAGAGGACGCGGCCAATGATGTCCATACCTAGACTGGGTTTGTCGGCGTAGTTTCGGGCAATGGTGTATAGGCTGGGACCAAGTCTTCGGACTACGCTTCGGACGTTCACGGAGATCGCGTGCTCAACACCATGAAAGACATCCACTAGGATTGAGAAGCCGTAGAGTTTTTCTTCGGCGGTACGAGGATCTACTGGAAACTTCACGTCCGTCGTGGAGAGAGTGTCTGCGTCCTGCAGAGTGATGGAGTGTCCTCGCTCGACGAGGGTAGCCTTGGAGGCTAAGTCCATCACAGCCTTGGACTCTTCGTGTCCTTGACATATGACAGAGAAAGGAGAGAGACCGACCCCGAGGACCAGTCCAGAGGAAGAAATCTCGTACTTTCGAAAGACCTTGTCGAGGATGTGACCAGTGGCCAAGGGTTTGTTTTCTTGTTCGATGCCAAGCGGGGAAGCACTGGTGCGTATGTCCAGGTGGCATTGAAGGGTGCTGTAGTCGCTACCTTTCGAACAATCGGCCAGGAGACGATGGATCTCAGGTAGGTCGTCGTCAGAGGCCACGTTGCAGAGGTTGTGGATGCGAGTGGCCAGATTTACTCCGTATTTGGACGTGAAGGTTTTGGTTCCTCGAGTGCGCTCGAAGTTCAGTTGTTCACGGTTGACGTTGTTGAGTGTGTCTTGGATGCCGGCCACTCCCGCGTTGAAAGTGTCGTTTGTTAGTCCAGGTCCGGTGGCGCCTAGGGCAGTGAGCAGCGGACGATTGACTGAGTTTAGGCATCGCTGGAGAGCCATGACGTTGGCAGGGAGACCAGAGTATTCCCCGGTGATGCGTAGGAGAGAGCCGCCAGCATCGCGGGTGCAAACAGCGCGAAACCATTGGACGAGAGGGATGATGGCATTTTGACGGGCGACTTCGGCATGAGTGATCTCGGGAGCAAGGATGAGGTTTCGGAACTGGACGATGGAGTAGCGACCGGTAGGTACTTGAGTAAGGGCACGCGAGGTCAGGTAGTGAGGAAGGGGCATGACACGACGGGATCGGTAGGTGTCAACGTCCGCTTCGCCTGGTCCATGGGGACCGGAGTGAAGGGTAGGAGGGTCGTCTCCTAACATGTCCGGACCATCCAAATGGGCCAGCGTCTTGCAGCGTGTCTCGGCGACACGTTGGAAACTGGTGTTTGGAAGTATCACGGGAGCGACCGTGTGAAGGTCGTTTCCGGTGAGCACAACAGCGAGGTTGTCGTAAGGAGAGGCGCGTTCGAAGTCAGCGGGGTATGTGAACAAGGAATGCCCGACATGGATGTAGTCTTCATCACCGGTGAGAACGAAGGCGACGAGAAGAGGAGACCGCGTGACGGCAGAGCACAAGGTAGTTTGAGTGACGTTACTGTTCGTGTCAACGTTACCACCGACACGGGTCAGAAGAGCGGCATAGTCAAACTCGGGTGCGTCCCAGTGATTTCCGCGGTCAACGAGAGTAGAGAATAAAGCGGTGGCCATGGTCGAGAAATATTTCGAAAAGATTTAGACCCTGATGCCGACGCAAGAGGTTAATCTACTATTCTAGTTCTTGCTTGCAGCTCGGCTGAAGGAAGAATTGTGAGCAGAGAAGGAGACAACCTTCTTGCGATCGACTGTTCAATGGCTGAAAGAGAGAGTTGGACCGGTCTTGCATGTTGTGTTCATTCAAGGTTGCTATCTGTGAGCGGTCTTCGAGGGGTGCTATTGCCTTAGAGCTGATCTTGCGAAGGAGGCAGACATAGCGACATGTATGTGGGGTATCCATTTCAGGAACGCAGGTGATGACCTGAGAGATGTAGAGATGTACTTGATGTGTAGGAGCGAAGTGTGGGAATCGATTCCATGTTTTGTGAGATGGTACAGTTTGGCAACTGTGAGTCGGGTCATTCGTCGAAGAACCCATGAGGGTTCAGGTTTCCACGCCAAGCAGCGTGGACGGATAGGGATCAGGATCGTTGTCCTCTTTTGCATGCGGCTGCTCGACAATTCTATCATTTTCTTTTTTCCCAGTTTGTTTGAGTAAATGAACTGAAATGATATAGACAATCCCCAGAGAAATCGAACAATAACAGTTTGGTCTAAATTTGTGCATTTTTACAGGAATATAGTGCCAATCCCCCACCACCCAACTTCAGAAACTTCCTGCTCAGCCACCTCGAAGCCTGTTCGACTTTCGGTGCGAGACCATCCATCGCAACTCGATCCATCGTAACGCTCGAGCTAAGGCTGGTCTCGCAAAAGCAAAACCACACAGCAACCACACAGCAACCACACAGTAACCTTCGTGAAACACAAACTCAAACGGACACAACGAACAGGAGCAACCAAACCCAACAATAAAGATGTTCTTTTCCACTATCTTGGAGGCTTTGACACATCATGCCCTGGAGACTCCCGACAAGGCCGTCTTCACCTGGGTTTACATCAAATGTGAAGAGCAGAACAAGATGACATTCAAACAGCTGCAAGATGAGTCGAATGCTGTGGCTGCTCGACTCCTCAAACTCGGATCCCAAAAAGGAGACCACGTCATGATTGCCTATCCCTTTGGCCTCGAGTTTTTGGCTGGAATGGTTGGTGCCATGAAGGTTGGAGTCATCCCTTGCTCAATCTATCCACCAAATCCCAATCAGCTCAAGACTGACATGCCAAAGTTCCGCAGATTTGCGGAAGATGCTGGAGCCAAGTATGCCCTATCCACCGGTGCCTTCGCCACTGCCATGACTGCTGCCGGCATTATATAAGACTGGGCCAATAGTAAGGTCGGCTTTTCGGTCGGACGACGTACAGACGTCAAAAAATCTTTTGAGTCTTGCTTAATAAAGTAGAATCTCAGCTATTCATAGATGTATACATTGGTATGATCCGACAGGTATAAGTTAACTTTTTAACCTAATTGCAAAACCACAGAGCGCGATGAACACGGGTTGAGGCCATGTTCCGAACTCTGTTTCCTGCGACTTCAAGATCCACCGAAACCGACGACAGACAGAAAAGTTACCGTCCTTCTTATTGGCCCAGTCTTATATACAAAACTGGTGTTACATGGATTGGAACTGATAAACTCAATGTCAAGAACAGCAAACCCAACAAGCCCACAGATTATGAGAAGTTTGCAGGGGAACCAGAAGACATTTGCCTCATCCAATACACATCCGGTAGTACTGGTCGCCCAAAAGGAGTCATGATCAGTCACCACAACCTAGCTGAGAACTGCAGGGCTGTTGGCATTATGGCCAATGTGGATTCTTCTACTGTGGCAGCCCTATGGGTTCCGCAATACCATGGTAATGCAATCTATGTTTTGCTCGTGACTTGGTCTCATGGCAGGTTGTCCCTAATACTATCTCCTTTGTTTTGCTTGCTGAAGACATGGGCCTTGTGGCTGGTGTTATGACTACCCTCTACACTGGCGTCCATCTTGTCTTGGCATCACCCCTGGATTTCATTGTAAATCCATTACTGTGGACTGACATGGTGGAGAGATACCAGGCAAACCTTACCTGCGCCCCAAACTTTGCCTATGCCTTGCTCCTCAAGCGGTTGGAGCAGGCCAACAGGAAAGCTGACTGGAGTTGCGTGAAGTGTGCCGGGTTTAGTGCTGAACCAACCCAGCAATGTGTTGTAGAGGATGTGATAAAGACCCTTTCCATCCACCCTGAGCATGTCTACAACATCTATGGGCTTGCTGAGTCTGTGGTGTTCCTCACAGGTGGCTGTGCCTACCCTGACTCTGAGGGGCTTGTCAGCTGTGGAGAAGTAGACTCTTCATCAGTCAAGCTAAGAATTGTTGAGGCTGGAAAAGAGGTTGAAGAAGGGCAGGTTGGAAGCATCTGGGCCCAGTCGCCACGGGTTGCTGTTGGGTACTTTGGACAACCTGAGCTAACTACCGCTATGTTCAAAAATACTTTATCTGGATATGAGGGTACATGGCTGGACACTGGTGATTTGGGCAAGGTTGTGGATGGACAGCTTTATGTAACTGGACGAGTCAAAGATGTGATCATTGTCAACGGAAAGAATTACTATCCAAGTGATGTGGAGCTCTCCATTGATGATCTCTTTGGTGATGTGATCCGTCCAGGCAGGACAACTGCCTTCCAGCATGGTGACGCAAGTGTTGGTATCACAGTGGAGGGGCGCAAGGATTTTGACAAGTCAGAAAATGAATCCTTTGCATTCCAGAGAGCCAACCATGTATCTCAAGTGCACGGGCTTTTAGCTTCTGCGGTAGTGGTCCTAAAGTTGGGTGTGACACCAAAAACTACCTCTGGGAAGCTGAAGAGAAGTGAGATCAGGCAGATAACAATTGCTGGTGGCTGGAAGAAGTCTTCTATGATTTTACAGTTCAAGCGGCAAGGAAACTCTGTTCCAATGATTGGTGTTAACAATACTGTCCTTGCTAAAGCAACTTTTGGTGGACTCCCAGGAAGCACTGATGAAGCTCAGGCACGAAACCCAGATCCCAATGTAGATTGTGCTGTTGCGGCATCTGGAGCTACAAACCGAGATGACTTCTCCACAGGGTATGGTGATATTCTCATGTCAGTCTTGGAGGCTTATATTGACACATCCAAGACTTGGGCAGAGAATGGACTCACCTCTCTTGCGAGTGCCGAGCTCAGGAACCAGGTTGAGGAAAAGCTGCATGTGGTGCTCCCAGTCAACTTTGAACAGCTCTACCCAACACCAAATGCTCTATCGTTGTTCTTGTCAGCATCAAAGAGCACGAGTTTTCCCATAGAAGAAGCTTGCAATCACTGTAAACTGTGGAACTTTCCAAGATCTAGGTTGAGCCAGCCACACCTTGGAATACTGCAAACCCTGGGATCGGTGATGATTCTCCTTTTGTTTCTCGGTTCCATTCTTCCTTCCTACTTCCTAGTCTCCTGGGTTATGGACCACTGTGAATCATCCAAAGTTGGGGAATGCAACAGTCCCTTTGTTTGGCTTCTTTTGCCCCTGTCCTTCCCTCTGTACCTGATCTCTTTTTCCATCATTGTGGTTTTCTGCAAGTATGCAGTCGTTGGAACATATTTGCACAGGCAAATTGAAATCTTGTCTTGGGGATACCTTCAATGGTGGTTTGTTGACAGACTTTTGGAAGTCTGGGAGTATTTTGTTGGACAGTTCATTGTGGAGACAAAATTCATTTGGATCTTCTACTGGCTCCTTGGAGCAGACCTGGCATGGAGCACCAGGATTGAATCCTTCCTCCGGGAATTTGATCTTGTGACCATCGGGGAAAATGCTGTGATCAGCCACCCTATAAAGTGCAGGAAATTCTCCAAATCAACAGAAACAGGCCTAACGGTTACCTTCCGACCAATATTTGTTGGAAAGAGCTGCCAAGTGTCTGGGATGGTCAGCCCAGGTGCTTCCATTGGTGATGACAGCAAGGTGGAGAAATTGTCTGTTGTTGAAGAAGGGGCTCAAGTACCAGATGGAGTACTTGCCAGAGGCAATCCAGCATGCCATGCTGGCTCATTTGAGCCTTCAAAATCACGGCACTGGGAAGAAAATCTGCTGAATGCCTTCAAGATTGTATGGCTTTTCCTTGAAGCATACCAATACTTTGCCCTTTCCTTCCTTGTGCATACCACACTCAACAAAATCTTGCCCTCGTGGCGCTATGCTACCATCGTCCATTGATTCCTGCTTTTTTTTGCCACTGCACTCCTTGCCCTCATCACCAGCATTGCCCTCAAGTGGCTTTTGATTGGGAAGCGAAATCCATCAGAGGACTATGCTGGTTCACTGTATCGCCGGGCAACCCTTTGGGCCTGTGACTTCCACTTCCGTGTAGCTGCTCGGACTCTTACTCCCTTCATTGGTGTGACCAAACTCTGGCACGTCATACTTTTCCTCCATGGTCTCGATGTCGATTTGGAATCACGTCTCAACAATCCATACAGAATCTTCCTCCCCTCCAAGGTTGACTTTATCAAGATCCGGAAGTCCTTTGTGGCTACCATCTCTCTTGACTTCAGGAAGCAATCAACTTCCAAGTTTGAGATCGTCAATAGTAGCATTGGTTATGGTGTCAATCTTCATGCTGGCGTCAAGATTGTGCAGTCCTCGATCCCACCAAGGCTGGACGTGTCTGGTGATGTCTACGATTTGAACACCTCAGGTCGGGCCTCGCAACCCAGCATATTTATGGACTTTGTCCTCCCAGAAGTCACACAGATATTCCTGGCTGTGGTGCTGTTTGTCTCCCTCATACCTTCCTATGAACTTGGACGAGCTTGCATGAACAATGCAACAACTGGTGTTGCTATGTTTGGTCTTCTCATGGCTGTCCTTCTGCAGTTGTTTTTATGGCTTTTATCCTCCCGTGTTTTTGAGTCAATCCAGTTGAATCTTCCAACCGGTGTTCAAGAGAGCACAATCGGAGCATATGTCGCAAATGTTTGGTTTTTCCGGGTTCAAAATGTGCTGGAACTACTGCTTGCCGGAACACCCATGTTTACCTACTATGCTCACATAATGGGAGCTGAAGTGAATGGTGACTTCTGGTACTTTGGCAATGCTATCTATGAATATAGCAATCTCCACATTCATGGGAGCACCATCGTGGACAGCTCCAGCTTGAATGGCCACTATATCGATGGCAATGGACTGACTATTGATGACACACACATTTCTGGTGTTCTGCATCCCGGTTGCTTTGCAGTTGCTGGATCAAAGGCATCTGGTGAGAGTGGTCCATGGAAAGTTATCTTGGGTAGGGGTGGTGCCCCAGCCTCCTCTGCTGATTTTGGGGAAGTCACAAGATCAAAAAGCATGAAAGGAGACCCAGAAGTTAATGTGTAGCCAAAAGAGCTGGAGATGCACCAGCTTCCATAGATACCCCCCTGCTACTAGCTTCTGTCAATAGCTATCCTACTCTAGACCCCATTTCCCTACTCTAGACCCCTCTAATCAAATAGTACTGTGTCATCTTCTGAGGTGTCATAACGCCAATGGCCCCGGCCGGCTTTCCATAGATACTCTACGTACTCTTAACCCCCGTTATCATGCTTCGTGAGGACTCCCGCCAGGTTGATTTCTCCCGACAGGCTTGGCCCCCAAGCCAAGATTCTTTTACAAAGCCATGCTTCTGCGGCTGCCACCAAAACTCATTTTTCATACACTCAAATGATGTTCTTCATGCAGACCCGCATCTCTATTGCACTTGTGAAACTACCCATTTATGTCTCGGTGGATCCGTCAAAGCCAAACCATTTGCCCCCCTAATAGTCCTCAATTTCTCGCTCCTGATCCCGCGGAACCTAATCCTGATTTCGACTCTTCTTTGCTTAAGCCTGGCCCCGGCTGGCTTCCATATATATATTCTTCCTAATTTAAACCCTGTTGTATTTCTGTCGTGTCAATCATGATCTCCCTTCTCTAAACCCCCGGTCCCCGCTGGCTTCCGTAGATAATTTCCCTACTTTAAACCCACGTTAACCATGGATAATAACGTTATCCCTGGATTCTTTCCAGCACTTTCTACAAGCGGACATTACCTACAGCTAGTGACGTTCCTTTCACGTAATTCCCTTTATAGTTATTTATTTATTATATTATTTAGTTATTTAGTTATTCTTATCCGGATCCCACAAGCGAGGGCCGTCCATTCCCACAAAATGGCAAAGGGGAATCTTTGACGAGGGCGCACCTGTTGGTGCACCCAATCCCTCCATCTCCGTCCAAGGTGCGCCTTGACCTAGCTCTCTACAGCAAGAGGTAAGCCCAGACTTGCGCAGAGGTGCGCGTCGAGGTGCACTGTACGAAGGAAGGAACAAAAAACTCATGGACCTCACAAAACTAACCGAACCTGAACGTTTGTCATCAATTTTCGAAAAGCGCAATTCGCAGGAGTGATCACATATAACGAGTTATCGCTTTCAATACATACATACATCATCATGATTCGCTTCATTCGAGTCTTTGCACTTACGGCAGCTCTGTTGGTATTGTCCACTGAAGCCCGTCTTTCGGGTCAGACGCAGGACCACGTCGAGGACGAACAGGACGAAGAAAGACGTCTATACTACGGATCGTCGTCCGGTGGGTACAGCAACAGAGCCAGCAACAGCAACGTCAATCAATACCAGCAAATGGTGAACGGTCAAAAATACGGCAACTCGTACGGCAACGCGAACGGCAACTCGTACCAAAACGGGTACGGCTACTACGCCGACGATGGAGTTAACGATGACGCCGCCGGGAATGGTAACGACGATGGAAACAACAACGACGGGAACGATGACGGAGCAAACAACAACGATGATCAGAACAATAACAACAACAACAACAACAACAACGGTCAAGATGACGATCAGAACGCCAACAACGCCAATGACGACCAGAACAACGGCCAAAACGGAGGAGGAAACGACGATCAGTACAACGTACAAGGCGATGATCAAAGTGGCAACAACGATGACGGTCAAGGCGGTAGCAATGGTAGCAGCAACAGCGATGGAATGGATGTTCAGTCGGACAGCACTAGCAGCAGCAATCAGAATAACCTTTTCAATGGCGCTGGCTCCAAGCTCTTTAGTGACCAACGAACCCTGGAAATCTTTCAAATGGCCACGGGAATGCTGGCGTGCATCATTGTCATGATGAGCATCTACATTTGCTACTTGCGATGTTCCATGCGACAGCCCAAGGCCATTCCAATGACGATTGGATCGCTCGATCAACCCATTGCACCCGAGATTGCCTATCAGCTCGAGGTGGAGAAGCAAATTGCACGGGAACACAGCATGCACAGCACAATCGCTACCAATGACCCCTGTGTCTACCAACGTAGTGGTACTTATACTACGAACGATCCCGGTGCCTACCAGAACGCTTCTTATCCTAACAATGATGCTGGCAGCGTAAGTCAAAACAATGCTGCTGCCACGGTGGCTACAGAAAACACTACCCAGAGCACCCTTGCCACGCATGACAATCAGAACAATGCAGATGGAACGGTCGCCACAGACAACACCCCGGTCAACGACAACACTACTATCCAAAACACTGTTGTTGACAACACGGACAACAACAACAACAGCAGCAACGCGACTCCAGAAGTGGAACCAGAAGGAAGAGATCTGTCACCAGTAACCATCTCCTAAATTTTGGTGGCTGTTGTTGTCTAATTTTGGAGGGGTAAGTGGAACAAATCCTGCGCCCCGGTTCTTCGTGGTGGATGCAGCCTTGATGTTGTTGCTTGTTTTTATGGGGCTTTCTATATATGTACGTTTCAGTGTCTCAAGCTTTCGAAGAAGGACGACTCCATCAAGGTAGTTCATACATCCGATAGTACGGTGGCCATCTGACTGATACATATATGCTCGTTGCCAAGCCTTCCAAGCAATGGTGGTTGGGTGTACTTCTCGGCTTCGTTGCTGTAATGGTTATAGTTTCAGCTTTCCTACTACTTTCTTACTAGCTAGCTAGCTACCTAGTCTGCCAGCGCGTCACAGACAGGCAACCGCAACCACACGTACGGTACGCACACAAAACTTCAATGACGAAGGATAAAAGGCAGAAGAGGCAACTCAGCCTGACCATCGCTGTCGTCAACCAAACTATCACTACAAGTGCTCCATGATTGTTGCCCTCGATTATTGCAAACACGGCATGGGCATGTATTGCAGCGTTGAGAGTTGAGAGAGAGACCTTTCATCGGATCCTTTGGGTGCTCTTTTCTCCTGGCTGTTCGGCTTCCAACTTCCACTCGGTTCTCTCTTGTTTGGATCGGTTTGACGACAATCCCACTCGTTAACGCCAAGGCGAGCGTTCAATCCCACCTGTTCACACATGTGTGCCCTGCCGATTATCTCTTAAAGGCCGTTTCATATGAGTACCAACCTCAGAGCGGTTTGCTGGTCGTGATCTAATTAGAGGCTCTTTCATATCAATAATTCTTGCAAATTAGGGTGACATGAACAATAATCACACACAGAAGATGGTTTCTGAAACGGAAGATGTTACATGTGCTCAGTGGTGATGTGTGACTGCCCGTGATAACGAGCAAAATCAAACTGGGAGGAGCAGGAAAACGCATTACACAGCTACAACACCACTACATCATTGTTACTTGATACTAGTATCTCTTATTCTTTCTACAAGGGTATTCAACAAGCTACCCTTTTTGGTTACATGAGCACTCAACAAGTTGCTCCTAGATTGGTTGGTTGTTGTAGTTGTTTACAGTGTGCCTAACACACATCAAAGCCATGGCTGTTGTTGAGTTTGTCTAGCGGTGGGGGGTGAGGTTGTTGTATTCAATATCACCCTTCTTCTTGCCTTTGGCCTGCCTCTTCCTCATGACAAAGGATTGAGCTTCCCTCTTCTTCCTCTTTTCAGCCAAGTCAATGTGGCAGAACAATGCACCAGACTCGAAGCTGGGGAAGGTCACATTCAGGGTAGAGGGATCAACTGGAAATGGGAGCTCCATGGTGAATTCTGAAATGACATCACCTCTGACATCAAGAATGGATCTCACATACTGCTGCATGGCATGGCGCCTCACATTGGTATCCTCCAGGTTCTCCCTTGTGTGTTGTTGATAGAGATAATAGAACTCCCCAATATCCAAGAGGTCCTGGTGCCACTTCTCACTGATTGTTAGCTTCTTGCCATTCGCAGAGACCATGGTCTCAATGTCTGCTCAGCCAGACAATGATAGTGACATGGCGAATGCCATGCTCGTTCTCCCATTCCTTGACCATCCTCTTCGGCTTCCAAGTAGTGGGGCCATCCTCCCCATCAGCATCAGCTTCCTCATCATCATTGTCAGCCATGGAGGGAAGCTGCGCAACTGCAGGAGGCCTGGCTGCCACGGCAGGGACTTGGTTGCGAGGAACAAAGCTGGGAAGAATGGGTAGTGGTCCATCATCATCTTGTGGTGGTTGTGGTCCTCTGAGAGCAACACCAGCAGCCATTCCTCTTGCTTTGTTGAACTGAGAGCGAAATTGGTTTGTGTTGTACTTCTGAAAGCGCTCATGCATGGCTCTCACAGCGGCAGGTAGTTCATCAGTAATGGCCCCAGTCTGGAACAAGCGAAGAAGGAACTTGAAGTCGCTTCCATCTTGCTTGAAGATGTGCTTCACAGGTTCCCCTTTCTTTGCCAGACTCTTTCTCGAGGACATGGTCGCTTCTTGCTTGGCCAATTGCTGTTGCTTTTGATTGTGGTTGTGGTTTCGATTTGTGAGAAGAGAGAGGAAGAGCGCCATTTGGAGGAAGATCGCCATCTTGGTGGTTGACTAGCTTGTTCACTACTGATAGTGCTGGAAAGCCACACCTGTGCAGTTTTGTTTGTGGAGTTCGCTTGTCAATACCGGCAAGATCAATCTTGCCAGGTGAGCGAGTTGCTGGGAATAAAATTTCAGACGCATGTGGTTCACGGGAAGGCTTAGAGGTCATACTGGTTCACATGGTCATTATAACAGTTCGCGATTTTTCTTGGCCTCTCAGTCATGTGGAATGGCGCGCTGCTTGCTTGGCCAACTCGATTCCAACCGTTGGTTCCACAAATGAATCAATTGTTTCTCACAATTTTGACCTCCATTTTGCAAGGGCGTTCTGAGGGCGTGCTATGCCATCACAGAATGGCCCCACACACATATCGACAACTTGGAGGGGCGATATGGAACACTACAAGGAACCAGCCTGATCAACCAGGGCGCTCCCTTCTTTTACTAGTAATAGACAGTGCACCTGAGCCTTCTTTGGCTAGGAAGGAGGTCTTCTAGGTTTCTAGATCGCCTCCTGAAACAGGCGATCCAGGGCGTCATGACGTTCCATATCGCTGTTTCCACCGGCATTCTAGACTGTTCAACAGTAGCCTATCATGGTGCCGGGGTTCAATCTAGTTGTCAGAAGTATACTACAGCATCCTCTATTAGCTAGACACTTCCTCCTAGGTGTTTTATCGACATATCACATGTCCCCTGGACGTTCTGGCTAGAATGGGGCGATTTTCCCCTTAGGCGATGAAAGGTCCAGCTTGCCACAGTAAAACCCCATTATTCTAGACAAAATTGTGACCAAAAACATGTAGACAATTTGAATAATTGCGCCAAATGGAAGCACATAAATACAGAACGTCCGGCAGTCCTCTCTTAAGCAAAGCAGGATTCGCTGATTCGGAAGGAGCAATCAAGTCAAGGAGTCAGCCACTACTGAAAGAGACACTTTTCGTTAACTTGCATCTTCAACCATCTTCCACCATGACACCATCTCTTTTTGTGCATCTCTTTCTGCCGGTACCGCCATCTCCAGCATCTCAATTTGGTCTTACAAGGTTGACAATGGTCACCGCCTACTGGATTGTACAGAGTTGTACAGGTAAGCCGGACATGACTAGAGTATTATCTTCAAGTTTTCGAGTTTTCTGTTGTCATCGAAATTCTCACAAAATTGATTCCACAACAACCAACCATGCAGATAACAGCTGATACTGTCATACGCACTGCTTCCATCTACCAAGGGCTCACAGCAAGAGCAGTCAACCATGAAACGTACAGGTACAATTGGACGTTTCGAGGCTGTTTTGGTGTGGCTCCTCATCTTGCCGCTGAGCTCTGGAACATGCTAGATGATGCTGATCCAATGAGCGATATTCGCTGGGTGACCTACTTCCTGGCCACACTCATGTTCCTCAGGACATACACTGTGACACCTGTGCTGGCAATGATCTTCATGAAGGATGAAAAGACCATTCGCCATTGGGTGTGGGTATTTATCGAAAAGCTGGCTACCCTTGACCTGGTACGTGATGACAACAACAAAGCTTTCATTTTCATCCAGCGCCGACTCCACAAATACAGAGAGCCCACCATGTACATGCTCAACTCCACCACTGCCGCTCCTGATCCAGATCAGATGGGAGTACCGACGGATGAATGATAATGGCAGTCGGTGTCTGGTAACTGTTGATGGCACTGACTTTCGCATCCTGGAACCAGGTCCTTTCTCTACTGGCTGGTATACCAAGAAGTTTAATGGTCCTGGACTGAGGTATGAGGTTGGTGTTTGTATTCAGACTGGATGGATTGTGTGGATCAATGGTCCCTTCCCTTGTGGCGAATGGGTTGATATTGCCATTGCATTGTCATCTTTGGTTTACATGTTTGAAGGAGATGAGAGAGCTGTTGCTGACAAGGGATACAGAGGCTATCCTGAGTTCTTTGACTGCCCATGGCGACACCTTGACAATCAACAGCAGACTACCAGGAAGTCTCTTGCAAGGGCCAGGCACGAATGTGTCAATAGAAGGCTGAAGGAATGGGGCTGCCTCCTTCAGAGGTGGCGCCATTCCCTTGACAAGCACGGCATGATGTTTCGTGCTGTGGCCAACATTGTGCAGCTCCACATCATGGAGCAGCCAATGTGGCAGGTGGAGTACTATGATAGAGTCAACAATGAGTTTGACTTTGATTATTAAATAGTTTGTAGTTACTCCTCTAGTTGCAGCATCACTATTAGCCATAGCATTGACAGTCAACAACCAACCAGTCTACTCAGGTGTGTAATGCTTGTAATGCGTTTTCCTGCTTCTCCCTGCATGGATCGAGAGAAACATCGTCCTTGTCCGATCACTCACAAATTCAACAGCAAGAAAGCACAACAAATTCCAACAGCCAAATGAAAACAATGATGTTCCATTCCACCATCCTCAAGGCCCTCAGCCACCATGCTATTCAGACTCCTGACAAGGTTGTCTTCACCTGGGTTGATGGCAAATTTAAGGAGCAACGGAAGATGACATTCAAGAAGCTGGAAGACGAATCCAATGCCGTGGCTGCTCGTCTGCTCAAACTTGGATGTAAGAAGGGAGATCGCGTCATGATTGCCTATCCCTTTGGTCTTGAGTTCCTGGCTGGCATGTTTGGAGCCATGAAGATTGGAGTTGTCCCCTGTTCCATCTATCCACCAAATCCCAACCAGCTCAAAACTGATATGCCCAAATTCCGCGGTTTTGCGGCAGATGCTGGAGCCAAGTATGCTCTTTCCACCAACACATTTGCTACTGCCATGACCGCAGCCAGCATCCTCTACAAGACTGGTGTGACTTGGATTGGAACCGACAAACTCTCAATTAAGAAGAGCAACAGCAACAAGCCCAAAGATTACGAGAAGTTCGAGGGAGAGACAGAAGATATATGCTTTATCCAATACACCTCTGGCAGTACTGGATATCCCAAAGGAGTCATTATCAGTCACCAAAATCTTGCAGAAAATTGCATTGCTATTTCTGCCATGTCTGGTACAAATGCTTCCAATGTTGACACTACAGTGGGAGCCTTGTGGGTCCCACAATACCATGGTAAGCTCAAATCTGTTGCTCCCCATCCTGGGATTTTTGAAAGCTGCAATCCTCTCATTTGGTATCTTCCTTTTGCTTGGACAGATATGGGGCTTGTGGCAGGCTTCATGACGACACTTTATGCTGGAACTTCCCTTGTCATGGCATCCCCCTTGGATTTTGTGGCCAATCCTCTACTCTGGTGTGATATGGTCGAGACCTACAAGGCCACCCTTACTTGTGCCCCAAACTTTGCCTATGCCTTGCTACTCAAACGCTTAGAGCAGGCCAACCGAAAAGCTGACTGGAGCTGTGTAAGGCGAGCCATGTTTGGGGGCGAACCCGCGCATGGAGAGCCACGTTGTGGCTGCAGTGTCAAAGACCCTTTCCGTCAATCCTGATCATATCTACAACATCTATGGGCTTGCTGAGTCTGTGGTGTTCCTCACAGGTGGCTCTACCTACCCTGACTCTGAAGGGCTTCTCTGCTGTGGTGAAGTAGACTCCCCAACCCTAAAGCTTCGAATTGTTGAGGATGGAAAAGAGGTTGAAGAAGGGCAGGTTGGAAGCATTTGGGCCCAGTCACCACGGGTGGCAGCTGGGTACTATGGCCAGCCTGAGCTAACAGCTGCGACTTTTGCCAATGTTTTACCAGGCTATGATGGCAGCTGGCTAGACACTGGTGATTTGGGCAAGATAGTGGATGGGCAGCTCTATGTCACTGGACGAGTCAAAGATGTTATCATTGTCAATGGGAAGAACTACTACCCAACAGATGTGGAGCTTTCTATTGATGAAACTTTTGGTCACATCATCCGTCCAGGGAGGACTACTGCCTTCCAGCATGGGGAAGACAGTGTTGGTATCACAGTTGAGGGCCGGAAGGACTTTGACAAGACAGCAAATGAATCCTTAGCAGTCCAGATAGCCAACCATGTATCCCAAGCGCATGGTCTTTTCGTGTCCGAGGCAGTGGTCCTAAAGTTGGGTGTGACACCAAAAACCACCTCTGGCAAGCTGAAGAGGAGTGAGATCAGGCAGACTACAGTTGCAGGTGACTGGAAAGAATCGTCTGTGCTCCTACACTTTGAACGGAATGAAGTTGCTGCTCCTCTTCCTCAGCCACATGTTGCTGTTGTGGGAGCTGGAGCTGCTGGCCTCACTGCTGCAATCCGATTGGCTCAACGAAACATCAAAGTGACACTGTTAGAATGCAATGAGCAAATTGGTGGACATGCAAGACACGTGGAAGTTTTTGGGCATGAGCGTAACCCTGCTTTTGGTCTGTTTCTTGCGGAAGAATTGCCAAACCTGATGGTTCTGGCAGAAGAGCTTGAGGTGGAGACAATTCATTTTGGTGAGTCCACACTCTCTCGAGGTATTGTTGCAATGGGAGAGAAGGAAATCCCTCCTATTCCACAAGCTGAAGCAAACCGCTTTATTGGAGAAATGCAAATCATACACAAGCTGGAACGGGGCAAGATGAGACAATTGGGGATTTTCTTGAACAAAAAGGATTTGATCATCGCTTTGTTGTCTATTTCTACATTGGCAAAATTGTCAGCTTCTTTCCTGGGCAGAAAATCCAGGACTACCTCAATATCCCACTGGAACTGGTTGCTTGGTTTGTTGTAGGTGCAAGCATTAGCACAAAAGATCTACTTCGGTTTCAAAACAAAGAATACATGGAAGCTTTTGAGGCAAAATTGAAGAGCCTAGGTGTGGAAGTTTGGACCAATGCAACGCCAAAGATTTTGAGCCGTGATGATTTTGGTGTGACAATCAGAACCGGCAAAAATGGAAATGAAGACATCCTGGAGGTTGACAAGCTTGTGCTGACTGTCCCCCCAAAATCTGCGGACGGCATCCTTAGCAATGTCATTTCACCTGAAGAGCATGCACTGCGTGGTTTTGATTGCCCACTGGAGACACTTGTCCTTCACCAGGACTCAAAATGGGCCGATGTATCAACACCCAACAAGGTTGTGGCAAATGTTCCTGATTATGGGGTAACTTTGCCATCTTTTGATGATACCATCCCAATCACAACATCCCTAGTAAGCGGTGAGTGCAGATGTCCTTGACATATCTATAAAATCCATACTTGTGCACAAAGAATCTCACCATGTAAGAACTCAAACCTGCAGACACCGACCACAAGACACCCATCTATGTCACACATGCATATGCCACACATGAAGAGCTTGATTTTGATTCTCCAGTGGAGAAGATGTCATTCACGCACACAAAAATCACATGCAAGGCCACCCATCTTCGATACTCGTTGCTGCAGCATCAAGGGAAGCATTCTACCTATTTTGCTGGTGGATGGACACGAGGGAAAATGCTTCATGAGGATGCCATTGTTAGTGGAATTCTTGCTGCCAATTCAGTACTTGAGGCTTTCAGTATGGCTCCACATTCAGTCCTTGAGAGAGAGACACCTGTGCCATCCAATCAGTTGATCAATAAAGCCGTCACTGATGTGGTACTATCAGATATCCAGCCACCAAACAAGGGCAACTTTTCTGCTAGATATGCCAATGTTGTCATGTCAGCTTTTGGGTCAGAGATTGAGGATTCCAAAACATGGGCTGAGAATGGCATGACTTCCCTCAGAAGTGCTGAGCTCAGGAACAAGGTGGAGGAAGACTTACATGTGGTCCTCCCAGCAAACTTTGAACAGCTCTACCCAACACCAACTGATCTTGCAGACTTCTTGATCAAATCTGAGGGGCAAAGTTTTCAGCAAAAAACAACATCAGAGGCACTGGAGTTTGCACAAAACCTCTCCAAGAACAGGTGCACCAAACTACAGCTTGGCACAATGCAGAGTCTAAGCTTGGTGGTAATTGGCATGTTGGTTTTGGTTTCAGCTGTTCCATCCTTTTTCATTGGAGCCTGGGCCATTGGTTCCTATGAGTCAACCAATGAGCTGGGAAGATCTGGCCTTGGATTGATAATGCTGCCACTTGCTTTCCCGCTTTTTCTCTTCACATTCTCTGTCATGGTGGTGATATGTAAGCATGCTGTTGTTGGCAAGTACAGGCCACAGAAGATTGAACTTTTGTCTTGGAACTACCTCCAATGGTGGTTCTTGGACCGACTTTTGCACATGTGGGAGGTGTTGGTAGGGAAATTTGCAGTTGAGAGAAAGTTTGCTTGGATCTTCTATAGGTTGCTTGGGGCAGATCTGGCATGGTCAGCACAGATTGATACCTTTATGAGGGAATCTGATCTCATCAAGATTGGTCCAAACGTCTCCCTCAAGCATCCTCTTCATTGTCGCAAGTTTCATCCTTCAAACAATGATAATTTTGGCCCAAGCATGTCTTTTCAGTCAATTGTTATTGGCCAAGGCAGCCATGTTTCTGGCATGGTCAGTCCAGGTGCCATCATTGGGGAAAGCTGCAAGGTAGAAAAGCAGACCTGTGTGGAAGAGGGAGCTATGGTTCCTGATGGTGTTGTTGCCAATGGAGTACCAGCATACAATGTGGGCAGCTACCAGAGTCCAGAGACTTCATCATGGGAGGAGTGCATCCTAGATGCCTTCAAGATTGCTTGGACCTTGGTGGAAACCTATCATTTCTTCGCCCTATCTTTCCTGGTGCATGAATTCCTGAATCACATCATACCCGCTTCTCGTTATTCCACGCTCCTACACTGGTTCCTCCTATTCCCGATGGCTGCACTCCTTGCCATGACAACCAGTATTATCCTCAAATGGCTTCTGATTGGAAAACAAGACCCTTCAAAGGAGTACAACGGCTCACCGTGGCAAAGTGCCACCAATTGGGCCTGTGACTTCCACTTCAAAATTGCATCCTGGCCCCTTTATCCATTCTTTGGGGACTCCCGATTGTGGAACATTATCCTCCTCCTTCATGGTCTTGATGTTGACTTGCTATCAATGCTGAACGTCAACCCATACACCATTTTTGTTCCTTCCAAGGTTGATTTTTTGAAAGTCGAGGGCTCTTTTGTTGGCACCATATCCATTGATTTGAAAAGCAATGCACATGGATCCAGAATGATTGAAATTATTGGTAGCAGCATAGGCTACAATGCCCACCTTGCTGCTGGGTCCAAAGTGGTCAGATCGGCTGTCCCCCCACGCTCCCAATTGTCTGATTCTGTCTATGATTTGAACAATACCAAGGGAACAAATCTTATCACACCTGATGCTGTCCTGACCATGGTTGCAAAGGAAGCAGCACAAGTCATTCTGAATCTTTTGATATTTGCTAGTCTGATTCCATCCTATGAGCTTGGATGGGCTGCTGTGGCTTCTTCATCCATGGTTTCGGCATGTTTTGGTATTGCCCTGGCAATCTGCCTACAGTTCTGTGTGTGGCTACTCCTAAGCAAAGCCATTTCTTGGGTAACACTCCACAAAGCTACCAAGCCACTTCTCCCAGCCATTTTTGGTGTTTATTTGAACCATGCCTGGATCTTTTCTTCGCTTAATTGGCTTGTAATGCTTCTGTATGGAACTCCCATGTTTGGCAGATATGCTCGATTTATGGGAGCAGAGGTTGATGGCGACCTCTGGTACTTCGGCAGCTCTCTCTATGAGTATGGCAAGCTCCATTTCAAAGGATGTACCATCGTGGACAGTGCTCACGTTACCGGTCACTATGTTGATGGCAATGGAGCTACTATTGATGACACCTTTGTGACTGGGGTGTTACACCCAGGGTGCTATGCACCTGCTGGGTCTGTGGTTTCTGGAGAAGAGAATGGTCCTTGGAAGGTCTTCTATGAGAAGGATGCTGTGGACAAGACATACAACTTTAGTGACAGTCTCGAGAACACTGCCGTCCTGGATGCCCCTCTAGAGTTCCCTCTGCAGTTTGAGGTCTAGTTGTTAATCTTGAGTTTCTATGTTTCGCGAAGAATCTCTGATGTTACTCTATACATGTATGCTCTTTGACTGTGGGAAACACCTGGGCCTTGGTTCATGGGTCGTCCTCAAGAACTTGTCGTCTAAATCAGTTACTAGACTGTGACCCCCACCCCTCTACTCTCTAACTAATAGCTATGGTAGCTAGTATGGCAGTAGGCATGCATTCAAAGAAGAACTTCGTATCTATGATTTATCTTGTTCACAGCTGGCTTGTTCATTTTCAAAGGACGACACACTTCCACCGAAGGGAGCCCTGTCAGTTGCGATGCTCTTGCAACCAGGCTCTCGGTTAAAGTAAAACTGCTACTATAGCTATATAGCTAGTCACAACCTTTTGGACTGAGATCGGCGCCGTGTCTTCCTCTCGGACTTTCTTCGATATCTGGACGGAGAAGATGCCATCATAATTCCAAAGCGTTTGGAGTTTCCTCTACGCGAGCAAACAAGACACCTAAAGAGACGAGTGCCAAAAGGCAACTCCCATGATTCGTACCGGCATTGGTATGGTACGGGACGTAGAACTGCCCTCTGCAGACCGTCTTGGTGTGTTCGGTATATGGGCGCAAACAAAGCCAACCATGGTCACCCTGAAGCCAGCAAGCCGAAGAATAATATCTGTGAATGTGCAAGACCGAACTTTTACCGTTAACCAGTGGGACTGACGAACCATTTTTAAAGAACGTCTTGCCCGAAACTTTCTTTTTGCCCTTTTCCAATCCCACGAGAAGAAGACAATACTCTTCCAGTCAACCATGCCAAGATGATGATCCCGACTACCCTATTTCCACTGTCCCTGAGTATAAGAATTCCCAAGCAAAGTTCCCATGCAGATAATGATGCATGTCCCAATCAGGAAAAGTTGATCCTGCTGAGAGGCAATCAGGGCGATGCTACCTATGTAGATTGTAATCAAGCCAATCTGGAAGTAACAATGAAGCCAAAACTAAGCCCAATGAAAGCCCACAAGAAGACAATGTTGGAAAGAGCCCTTGCAACTACCACTAGTCCCAGAGATATTTCTACAGCCAAACAATCTTTGAACACTGACAACACCAAATACCAAGACTTTGACTCCCTTCCACCTGAAATCAAAGCTATACGCAGGAACATTCACCAGTGCTCCTGTCACCATCGAACAGCCACTGAATTGGCGGCAGGCCGGCTATGTTTGTGCTGCAGGTGTGGCTCAAAGGCCTGCAAACTGGAGTTAAAACTGGATGCGATGCGCAAGATTCCAGCTGGCTTCGGATGTCATTCAACGGCTGAAGAGGCAGTAACCAAGATACTGGCATACCACAAGCACAGAGGTGACCCACTACCAGACAATTGGGATGTCTTATATGACTCTGATGGGAACTCAGTGGGATCCTTCAAACAAACTGAAGCCAGTGATGCCGATGTTGATTTTGATGTTGATGTTGACACATATCAGAGAACAATGACATTACTGGAAGCTGAGTCTCCAACATGTGACAATGGAAGTCATGAGGCAAAAGAGAGTAACTGGTCTGGATAACAGCCAAACTTATTACTTAATATAGATAGTCAATCTTCTTCACAACTTGTGTTGGAACTGACTCCAGTGTGACTGATACCACAAAGCAAGAGGGCACGAACTCTTCCATGGATGAACTTGGGTCGAGGATTCCTGTGGCAACAATGGCAACTGGAGGTGGTCAAACAACCACTGGCAAGAGATCGGCCAATGATGCTGTTGAGGAATGACCAGTAATGGAACAAGACAATGAGGGTCAACGCCCAGAACAAGGCGGATCTGGAAAGAATGATGGCAACCAAAATGGCGGAGGCAATGATGAACAAGGAAATGGTTCAGAGGGTGGCCAGTCAGCACCTGCTGGCACCTCAGCGGTGCAGTCCTTCCCTGGAAAAGGAGCCTGCATCATGTGAATTCAAAATATGACCGATCCAATTAAGTATGGATCACTCAGAGAACTTCTCAAACTCTGCAGTGATGGAAATTGACTTTTCTTCTACACCCATGACAAGCTAGGCGACACTACTGGCAAACCTTTACCATACTCACAGATTGAGCAGATGGATGATACAGCCCTCGGACAGGCATTCAATGTGTGCAAGCCAAAATGGGGGCAAGAGTCCAAGCACAAGTGCAGATTTGGGGCATCATTCTACTTCTACAGTCAGAAACACCTCAATGTGAGTGCACTACGCTAAAAGCTAGTGTAAAGATCTTTCGAGTGTTTTGAGTTTGAGAGAATGAAAGTTATGAGAGGATTAGAAAGCTATGAAAACTAATCAACGAGAGAGATCCACAACCAAAGGATCGTAGATCTGAACTCCCGCGGGAGACTGTAGAGTGTGATAGAGTAAGTTGCGGTAGCAATCCTACTCACTCCACGATCCAAAAACGGAACGCGTGGAAGATTCGTCTAGCATTTATCTAGCAGAGAGAGATCTCGTCCTAACGGCGTCGATCTGGCGGATCCCGTTGAATAGTTAGATGACCTTTTCCAAAGACTTCAAGAAGTCGGGATTGAAATCAACACTACCAAGGCCTTCCTCGAAAGGAAGAACTGGAGTATCTAGACAATTGGACTACTCGAGAAGGAAGCCAACCCTTAACTAAAAAGATAATAGATGCGATCCAGCTATCGCTCTTCCTACCAACAGGAATAACTTCGTAGATTCATTGGACCAATGAACTACCAGGGCTGCTCCAAGACAGCAACGGATAACCATCGTTCTGAAACAGACGTGGTTTACCCATATCCATGACCGGAGGTTGCATGGACAGAGAACGTGAGTCCGCGCAGAGGTCGAAAGACTCTCCGGGATGAACATGGACTTCGTCGCAAGTTCACGCGCGTCAATCGTGACAAACTCACCACATCCGTTTCAAAGCAAACCGGAAATACATTAGGAACGTCGCCAACGACTTATCCAGAAAAACACCGATAAGAGAACACGGCACGTGCTCATCAACACCATGTCAACGATACTATGATGATTCATCAGTATCAAACCGTTAGTACGGTCAGCCAACGCACAAGTCCTTACCACACAGACCGAGTCAAAAAATGGCACTGTACGGCTCGACATACTACCGCCAATGCGGCACAGTCTACCAGACTTGGAAACATAAGGTATTTACACCCATACAAGCCTGATCCCCTTGTAGGATTGCCATGTGCGACGCACATGTCTACATCCAATCTCCGGAGAGTGCCCCACTTTAATTCATATGTTCTCCTTGTCCGACTGATGTCGTGCCTTCCGTGACCCTTGTCAGGGGGCGAATGCAATACACGGCTCTTAGCCTTATTCGCACTCGATCCTAGATAGGGTTTGAGTTCGACTCATGACTGAGTCTCTCGTGAATAGTCATTGAGACAGGGTTCTCATGACCGCTCTAGTCTACTAGGTTGATAATGAAACATCGCTCTAGAATATTTAGCCAGCGTGGAGTACTTCCACGCCTCTAA